CACCATGATTCATGCAAATATAGAAGCTTACGTGATTCAACTTCTTTAGAATCTCAACTTCTGACTGCACTCGATTGCAAAGACCATTTCGGGTAGGGAAAGAAAATGACTTTTTCTGTACCACCTTCATTGCATACTGCTGACACGATTCACGCTCAAAAACTTGGTAAACCTCTCCACAAGCACCCCTTAAAACACTTTTAGAAAAAAAACAAATCTAACCTTCCAAGGGATCGGAAAATGGTGTATTTAGATGTTACTGCGACAGGAAACTGGTCTTCCAATGGCTTTAGACAAGTAAACATAAAACCTGCGGAATGCTTATAAGGATGGGGAATGCAAACTTACATCGACAATTCTTAGTTGCAAGAGAGATCTCATCATTATTGTTCAGAAGTTGTTTTCCTCCTTTGCCTAAGAACATCGCCAGTTAGGAAAATTAATCTACCAATTTTCTGTCTGTTAATGAATGTCCCATTGCTACTGAGATCATAAATAAAGAACAATGGCCCACTACCAGTTGTCTCCTAGAGAAGAGCTTATCGATTGAAATCAAAACTTACGCGATCAATTCGGAAATGTTTCTTGCTGATTGCGTTAACGTGAGAGCTCTGATCAAACATGTAGGGATTCAGAACCAAATCACATGTCTCTTCTCGGCCAACTGTGTACGAATCTTTTGACATTGCTGATAATAAGAGAAAGTAACAACCATTGCAAGTCATACCGAAAGTTGGCATTTTAGGTTTCAGGGGCAGAAGTCGACCCCAAACTTGAACGCTGGATTGCCATCCTGCATCCATTCCTGGTATATCATTAACATCCTGCGTCGGAGGCAATTCCGACATGACGGTGTGCTCGAACGACCTTTATGCAAAATCAATGGAAGCCAATAGACACACCGTCACCGGTCCGTTTAGAAACGCGCGGCGATTATAAATTAAATTTGCACACAAAGTTCAGCCTAACAAAAAAGTGAATGCAACAACTTATGCGAAATTGCCTTAAGGCATGCTGCAAC